AGCGATGCTACTACTAGTTATCAGCATATTTTTGCTGTCAGTTCTAGCTACATTAGATAGTAGTGACATGGCAGCTCGACGCTTGTGGAGTATCGGCAAGCTGTGCGACTCACTTCCACATTTCTGGGAGTTATGTTGCTCGTTGTTGCAAGCGTGTATGTGCTATTAGGCATCAGTTTAACAGGTGAATGATATCATGACTTTTTTGTATGATTAACCGTAGCTAATTAATGGAAGAGTTATTGGGCACAATTATGAAACTGGAAAAACAATTATTAGTCGCACAACAAAAACAGAAATATACAAGGAATCAAGCTAAAATGTAACGCGAACTAAGCATATATGCAAAATATTAAAAGGTATGGTTGCTAATATAATTGTTTCTGGAAATAATTATACTGACCCAATTTATTGAAGATTATAGTATAGAGTAAATCAGTGAGTTGGTTAAACGGTTGCCGCAGAGGTAGTAGTTAAAACGTTCTAAAAAGTAAAAAGTAAAAGAGTTTTTAGTACTAAAGGAAATTAAGTCATAACCTACTGATTGGAGTGAAATGAATAGTGGTACGATGGAAAATTACTGCAAGTTTCAGAATTCGTTTTCAAGAATCAAATGACATTTTTCAATTGAAACTGACTTTCTTCTGCTCTGAATATTGATTCCCAGTGCAAAAGGTATGTAGGTGCTGGACATATGAACCGAAATGAGTGTGTATATGGCAGTGTGTTGGTTACGTGTCAGTGAAGATTTATAAGAATGAGAATATCAACACAAATCTTCTAATACAGTCTATACACTGGTATTGCTTATGGATGCTACACGCCAATTTTTGGTTTTATGCATTTTGGCTTGGATATTCTTGGATAACCAGGCTGAATAAATAGGTTCCTAATATGAAGGTCAGAATATATGCAGGATGTAAAAGTTTATGTACCTTCTTTATAAATGTTACCGCATGATATATAAAATGAACTTAGAATTCTTCCACGAATCCATCAACCGAGTCAAGAAAATTGTTTCCCGCCCGCCTGACGTTTACATCTTATGGTAGTCACCATTCAAGCCAGTTTCCGTCAGGACCTCTTGTGCTAAGCAAAACAACTTATTTGATAAAGGCTAGCCGTAGATGTTAAATTGTGTTCCTTCTATCACATTACCGCCAGTGTTAGTTCATTCGTTTTTAACACTGTATAGACATTAGAAGCCAGTTAAAACTAAGTTTTCTTTTGTTTTAACTTGAATTTTGCCACAATCATATGTCGATAATATATTTGCAATCTTTAAGGAAACTTTGCTTTATCAGTTGGTGGTGACCAGGAAAGGAATATAGTACGCACGTTTCGTTCCATTTCGGAAGTGCCATCTAGATGCTACGAATGTTAGAGCGTTCCAAACCCAAACTCCGGCAAATTATCAATCGTCCTATACTTCAAAGTGCCATCTACTATGATAGTGGACAATAAAAATTATATATGGTACTACAGCTTCCTGTTAATACTTGTTGAAATCATTTAAATCCGCATAAAAATAATCTACCTTTTGTCAAGACGAATAAACCGTGTGCATTTTTACGCAAATCCATCCGTCTTTATGAGACGGAGGATGTTGTCTGCTACGTGATATACATCGTATATAAACGCAAATCCCTATCATACGCCTGTTCTGTTAGGACTGGAGACATCGAAAAATCAAGTTGATCGTCCAAAATAGGGATATGTTTTAGGGCCAGAAACGTTGATTGATGATGACTTCTTAACTAGCCGGGGCTCGTGCACGAATGACGGAGCGTAACGCTACTGAGTCTCAGACGCTTTACCACGAACTCACAGCTTAAAGGGTCGGCTAAAACCGTAAACTTCAGCACCCAATAGTGAGTGAAAGATGCTGTATACTAATATTTTTGGGGGATGCTTACCGCCCGCATTTATCAGAATACGTTACTTGTTGTGAGGATTTACACAGAATTTTTCTTGTTACATATTTTGACTAATGTCAGATAGGACAAACCTTATAAACAAAATGTTTATCTAAATCTGTGTAACTGTGCCATACAAAGTAAACAATATCAGGTGAATTTACCCTGCGGCGGCAAACGATTACCCAAATTTATTATCCTGCAGCTCTCATAGGTGCTGACCTTCATTGCTTATGTTGACTTATGAGGCTGAATATGCACGGTCAAGCGTCCACATTATTTTGGCACGCTCTCATAACAAGCTTGGATGTTCGTGAAAGCCTCTGTTTAGTTAGGCAGACATGACAGTCCTACACGGCTGATTCAGGAATAGATTTCGTATTTGGACGATCATCACGTTGTTCTCGTTCAGTTCTCCAACGGCTTTCAGGTCACAGAACAAGTGCGTTAACGGCGCGTGCACTTTCACGTAGTTGAGTCTTGTGTGCTGAGCCGATGACTTCCGCCAGCCTACCTGACCTATTGTTGTGCTACTACTGTTGCTTTATGAAGTCCGGTCAACTAGATTAACAGCATCGATCACAATATACATTTTGTGTTTTCAACAGTCCAAAATTCGTCCATGTTTGGCTCGAGTGAAGTACATAAATTTGAGCTAGCAATGAGTGTAGGTGAAAACTGAATGAGCACCATTTGGTTTGTTTACTCGAGTGGATATCCTTTTGGACTAGAGGCATCAACGGTGGCTGTCAAATACCCAGACAGCAAAGGTCCTTGACCTATCTCTGGTTCCAGAAGACTAAGCGAACCAGTACGCAGAACATGTGGAGCAATGAAAAACGGTCTGGCAATATGATTATTTATCCTTAGACCACAACGAAGCAGAGCTACAATTGTTACCAGGTGCACAGCTTTTGAACATACGTTCGTATAACGTACAACAGTACTTCTGATAGTATTTCTCTAATCTTCTGGTAACCAGTGTGCGATTAAGTGACGATTGCCTTCATGTCTTCCGCCGACGGAAACCAGTTCGGATAAACAAATGATTCAATGTTCACCAGTAGTCATATTATGCATGACCCAGGCATATACTGTTTGACATAAGACTGGAAGAAAACACTCAGAATTATTATTGTGATTTGAGCTAACGTTCATTTTTTACCACATATGGACTTTCAGCTGCTGCGATTCTGTAGTCCTGGTCCGGTGTCGGTGAAGAAATAAACAATTCTGGATTCGCAGATCTTCTTTCTGGTATTTTTAAGTCGGTTGTTGGACACAGTATTCAGAGGCACCGATTAGTCTTCTGGAACCAGAGCTAGATTCATAATCTTTCCCGGTCTTAGCAATCGATATTGGTGCATTGTGCAAACTTAATGTAGTATCACTGTACCTTACACGCAACATCAACAAATAATACTCCACCTGAAGAACACCACTGGAGAGAAATACTCGGGTTATTTGTTATTTACATGAATTCACATAAGTGCTGACGGCGCCTCTAACATGGCGATCAAAAACTGCCTTTCACGTCCCATTTAAAACTTAAATCTGCCTATAACAATCATTCCATGACTTCCCTTATGTTAACCTCAAAGCTTTAGTGAGTCGGAGAGCATGATAATATATCTGAACTTCATGGAAATAAGGTCTGGGCTTCTAATAGTTTCCCCACCTTTATACTTAAAGTGTTGTAGTATACTCCAATTTGAAGGAGGTCGTATCTGAGTGATTTCTGCTTAGCTTTCTATGTTAGCTTCCTCCAGTGTCTGGAACTTGGAGTGTAGTGTCAATCGTTAGGCAGTGATCTGAAACACAAAGAAGGGGACTTTAGCAAGGTGACCACACAAACGTTGCGTGCTAGTAAGAACGAGGGCTGGAGATCAAAAGCTATATTTGCAACCAATTGTACAACAGGCTAATGATTAGGGAAGAATTTTCCAATTGTTCAGCCATCGCATTGCCTTAGGATAGCAAACATGAACACAATGCAGCCGACCCGAAATCAGACAAGCATCCAGTGTAAACATAAAAACCACATGAATTACTTTGCCTTAAGGGAAATACTTTTGAATTTTAAGGCTGTTCGCCAGCATCAAAATAATATTTCATCTTGCATTAAGTCTCCAGTTGCTTTCTACCTGATCATTCTTGCGCTGAATCAAAGTAACACTGCTGCATTTGGTTTATTAGGTGGCCACTTGTAAATTGAATGGGCAGAATGCCCGATGAGGAAAATTAAACGTCTGTAGCACAGCTGTGATGAAAGAATTACCACTGTAAATTCCTTATAATAGTGCGACCTTATATTGCAGTGGACGGAATGTATTTGCATGAAAAGATGAAACATATTTGAAAAGAATAACATGCCCATATGTTAATGAGTAAGGCTGATTCCCCCGGTAACAATTCCTTACTAATTTTTCCGGCTTTCTAACTGGTTTTAGTCATCGATGCTCTGAATGGATGGCATTATCAGATTCCTTAAAACTGGCCACAGTTGTTCACTATGAAGTTAATGGGACAGACTAAGTAAATTTCATGCATCACACCGAATTATCGCAGTGAGAATTCTTTCTTTTAAGGAAAGATCTGTTTTAGCCAGAAAGTGTTGAGAGAGACTTGCAATTAAGTCAGTACTATTTCAAACTAAGTTCAAGCCATTCATGATGTAAAATTAGACTATCGAGGTTATACATGCAATATACACATATATATCATGAGAAGGCAAGCAAAGAACTTGAACTTTAACGTAATACTGAGAGACGAGTCCAGGAAAATCAATAAGTTTATACAATCAAGTCGTAGAAAGATACTGGATATTGTTATCTCTTTTCTTTTGACGACGATACCGGAGGATTAGCTGGTGAAAGGATCGACTCCATTCACAGTAGTAACAGTCTTAATACACCTCATACTACAAACCACATATAATTAATCCCAGCACTACTTTTGAAGTCAACCAAAGCTACGGCAGTCGAGTGGCGGGACGAGATACGCAGTAGTTTACCCAAGGTCAGGAACCTATACCTCACAATCAAGAGGTGAGAACAAAAATCAAATTGGTTTACACTAGCTCGCAAAAATGATATTGGATATTAAGTTTGGCGGGCCTGTCAAAATGCTGCAGTACATTTCCGTTTTGAGTATAAAATCATCAGGTAAGCCTTTCCGAGTTTCGAGATGTTGCTTCTATATGCTAAATTACGTTTTGCATAAAGTCTGTTTTACTGAATCATATAGGGCCAAGTCAGACTATAAGTGCCGAGGAAGTACTATTGTACCCAATACCCATAGGTATTGCAAGTTTACGATAGTTATGAACTATGCATCAGTAATACCTTTTATGGTGAATAAATATTTTGTGTGCCTAAAACGAGCCCAGTTTGTAGCGAAATAATGATGATAGTACTTAAAAATAGCAATGGAGGCTTAAGGAAATGTGAGATGTGCTGAAATAATAATAGTCAGTTCCGAATCGGGCATGAGAAAGCTCAAATGACGCTGAAAAACAAACCCAGTAGCCCCTCAAAAATTGCTGATAATGTCGAAAAGAAGCACAGGGAGCTAAATTAGAGCCAGCCATACTGAGAAAGAGCACCCAGTTCTATTTCGTGCAGAAAATCAAACCATTTCATAATTTACTCACTAGAGAAAGTAGGTGTTAGTTGAGAATTTGCGACCTTTACTTCAGCGTTATTGTAGGCTTCTGTGGGATTATGTTAACCTAATAATGGAGATATTAGGGTTGTTTCGAGTTAGATTAGATTAGTTTAGGGATATTTTCGCGTTAGAGTTGGGCTAAAGACAGATTAGGTTTGGCATAAGGAAAGACCTTTATGAACACATGTATGCAGTGTGGTTGAGGCCGAGTTAAACTAAGCACCAGTAAGTACCAACGGTTTAGTTGATCGTTTTCTTACTCTGTTGATACTCCAATGTAAAACTGCGGGGTATTTTTATCGCACGTCAGCGAAAGGCACTCTACGTATCAGTTCCATGCTTTTTATTCATTATTTTTATAAATATGTAGGAATGTTTATTTTATACGTAAAATCCCTTTTTCATGTGACTAGTGTGACCCTACTTTTCGATGTCTAAAGTTTAACTTCTCCCCACATGTTTAAATAAGAATTTTCTGGACTATTCTGAAGTATTTTAATTTACCAAGTCAACATTCCCATTTGAGTTCCACTCCACCCTCGCCACTTGATGTCATTCAATGGTCTCTCTATCGTGTTTCCGATCCATCTCCATTTTCTTCCGCATATTTGTTGAGCAATAGGTTCTTGGTAAGCCTGTTCCCAGAGTTTCTTGTCCCTAATTCTTCATAGCCATTCGATCTTCAACGTGGAGGGAAGGGGGCTGTTGATAAAAGTCTGCACTGGTCTGTTGGAAATGCTTTTCACTTCGCGCCAAGATTCTAACTATTGTGGAAGAACTGACTCGACACTGTTATAGAAAATCCTAATTTTGTTTATGCTGAGGCGGAGTGTAGAAGATTTCCAAACCGATTTCAGAGCGATGAATGCTTGTTTGTCTTGCCTTTCTGATTCTGGTTTAGACATCCCCATCCGTTCCCCCGCCCTGTATTAGGAAGGATGTTGCTTAGCCAGTTAAGTGGAAGAAGTGATGTCTTTCAAATTTGCTCCGTTGATGGTGATTGGGGCATGTTATTGTCGTTGGTCGTAGTGGTGGTTGGTTATCTTCATCACCTCTGTCTTCACAATGTTCAACAGGAGTTCTGTTTTCGCTGCACTGCTTCTTCTGGCATTTTGTTGGTTTTCGCATGAAAGTCTTCCATTTTATGTGACATCAGACATAAATCATCGGCGAAGTAGAGGGCTTCTAGAGTCTTCTCATCGACGCAACGCAATCCTGTCTTCTCGCTGTCATACACAGTATAACACATAATCCAGTCCACCACAATTAGGAATATCATCAATGGGTAGTAGGCAGACAGCTTCGTCTTACTCCTGTATTGATCATATGGAATGCTTGGTTGAGTTGTCCGTTGTGAATCACCTGACAGATGTCAGGCATTGTCATACGATGGATGTTAAATGAGGTTGATGAAGATTTGGTGTAGTGCACGCGTTAGTGTAGTGTTGAAGTAATTACGAAATTACTTCGTGGTCAACTCTGTTGAAAACCTTCTCAAAGTTGACGGAGTTGAGGGAGAAATCTGACCGTTCTATGCTTTGTTCGATGATGATGCATATATTTGCGACTTGATGGGTACATGATATGCCTATCTTAAGACCAGCTAGTTCCTGGGGTGGTCAGAATTCTGCATTGAGTGCATGTTGTATTGTCTTCAGGATAACTCGACTTAGTATTTCGCATGGCGTAGACGACAGCATAATTCTACACTAGTTCTTGCAGAGGTGTAAGTTAGCCTTCTTTGGTAGTTTGACAAAGTAACCTTTCGAATCAGTAGGTACCTTTCTTGCTTTCTAAGCTATGTGCACTAGTGGCGTGGGCGTATCCGCGATAGTTTCTAGATCCGTTTTCAATACCTCTTGAGAGATTCAGTCCGGTCGCGCTGCATTTCTGGACTTCAGTAGTTTGATTGGATTGAAGACTTCTGGTTTTTTAGAGGATTGGTGTCCACTGGCAGTTCTGTTGCTGTTGGTGCTATTTCTAGACGAGTTTCAGGTGATGGTCGGTAAGGGAATCCTCTAAAGTGGTCAGCACATTGTTTCGTCTTTCTCTCCTCACTGGTAATTAGAATCCCTTGACCATTTTTGTTTGCTTATATTTGTTTATCTCCTTCCGGATGCAGGAGTCTGAGAAGAGTTCACCATTCTCATTCATTTCACCGAGAGCTTCTCGACCCATGATGAATTCTCGCTGATTAATATTTTGATGTCGCCATTTTGATGTTATCCAATTCTTTTTGCAGTTTTCTGTAGAAATCTTCCTTCTCTTGTTCTGCGTTGTTTATAGGAACGTAGCATTGGGTAATTGTAACCTTCCTTACTTCCTTCCTTTTGAGTTGAATCTTGCTGTTATTATCCTGGAGAAGGTTGGTTCTTAATGCATAAGAACTTTGGCTCTTGTTGGTAACATCATGATGACCACTCCCCCATTGTGCTCATGGTTATCGTCTGTGTGATCGGAGTAGGTTATTGACTCTCCAGTTGACAACTTGTATAGTCCACATCCATTCCCACTGTTCTCGCAGATTCCTAACACTTCTATGCCATATCTTATCATTTCTTCACCAGCCCGGACAGCCTTCCCAGCGTCGTTCACTGTACGAACATTCCACATCCCCAGTTTTATTTTTACTTTCATCGAAAAAAGACACATCGACTGACTGGCTTTTCGAAGGCTTTCACCAGTCCGTGCCATTTTGCCTCTCGTATTCCAGTGAAGAATAAGTTTGTCTATTATATTTTTCTTGTGCTGTGAATTTTCTGTAGTGATTGTATTGATTTTTCGGGGTAGGATCGCTAGCCTCACACCCAACCTTTTCTCTTTCCCGGACATAGGACCGGGTAGAAAGCTAGTGAACTAAGTGAGGCAATATATTGCTAGTAAATACGGTTCTAGATGTTATCGCCGTCATGGCACTCCACGTATACCTTTGATTCTGTGTGTGGGAAAGCGGTTTTTCACTGGATGTCGGTGCTAAATGAAAACGTTTGTTGAGAACCAGTTTTATGGATAAAGTGGAAACTGTTTTGTCTTTTTTGGCTGTTTTTATTTGTGTGCATGCAAGTGATTAGCAGTTAAAACCCAAACAAGCCCTTTCACTGTTTACCCCATCTCTGTAGTGAACAATTGAAAAGTTCTTAATCGTTATATTTGTCGTTAATCAGTTTGCTTGGTTTTTACCACCCACCCAGTGTTGTGTGGATTCGTTGTTAGACTACGTTTAACATTCTTTTTTATCACCTATCTGAAGTAATGCGTTTCCAGTCGTTCATTGATTATGACAAGACAGCTGAGATTCACTGTTTTTCATAGTTATTTTGTGATCGTTAAAAATATGATCTATTTTATCTTAAATCAGTGGAATCATAAACTATCGGTTTAAACGCTTGACTTTCAAGTATTACCTCTTGTTTTAGAAATCCACTTCTCCCGGATTAACTGAATTTTTTGTTTGATCTCTTTAACGTTCAAGTGTGACGGGAAAGTGTAGTACATAAGCTGACACTGGGTTGTTGATTTATGTAGGTTATTGTTGTTATATCACATTGCAGCTACTTAAAAATCAGGGACGTCAGATACAATCTGATTATCGTTATATGAGGACTAACACATTTTGGTTTGGAAACATTTATTTCCTGATACGAATTTAAAACAAGCAACAAATAGTAATAAAGCAGGATTTAATGAATTCATCAAATTAAGGTAGAACTTTAGTTGAATACACCACATAGTGATATATATATGTATATACTTCTAAAAATATATTGGGAACTGTATAACTGCTAAGTAAACCACATTGAATCAATCATGCAAAACGACGCATGAATGGTTTTCAAGTTATGTTCAGATAGATAAGGAGAAAGGGGTTTTAGAGATTAGAATTAAGACAATAATGCATTACGATTCAGTTACGGTAATTAAATTAAGAATTAGTTATCAGGAAAAGAACTTGAATATATCAGGAATTACAAAGTGAATGATATTGATCATAATAATGAGTTAAGGTTTTGTCAGTGACAAAACATAGTTTCAAATGAATCAAAAATAATAAGATGGAATAAAATATTAATAATAATTAATAAGACATATTAGATTCAAAATAACCACCATTATCTTATTATTACCAATATTATTAAGTTTGTAATTCTTGATATGTTCAAGTTCTTTCTTTGACAGCTAATTCTTGATTGAATTGATGTAACTGAGCCGTAATGCATTTTATCTTAGTTTTAATCTCACCCCCCTTATCAATCTGAACATGACCTGAAAAACTTTAGTGTCGTTTGCTTATTAGTCTTATATCTCCCAGAGTAGTAGTATATACATATATATATCCCTGTATGTATTCAGCTGAAGATTTCTACCGAAATTTGACTAATGCATTATATCCTGCCTTATTAACAGTTTGATGTGCTTGAATAGGGGGAGAGTCAGCTGAAACATCCCGGATTAACCTAGCTTTTATGTATTTTTGTATTCATCTGCTGGCGGTTCCTGCATTCATAAGGAAGTTCATATTATGGCAGAAATTTGAACATGCGTCTTCGATTCACTGTTTCCGTCCTACAAAGGCGCTAGCGAACACATGTATGGATCAACGTCTTATCACTATTCAAGTTCGCACTATAGATTGCGCAAAAGTGCAGCAGCTGAAGTTGTGACGCTCTATGGAAGTACACGAAGGTAGAATAAATAAATAAATGCAAAGAAATGATTCTCAGCCGTGTCACCATTAGTCTACAGTCATTGACTCGTAGCGTCTTGAGAAACCCAACCAGGAAGCACACATCTCGCTGTGGCTCAGATCAACAGTCAAAGATTTCATGGTGTGTTCGGACCACTGATAACTTCTTCCCTGTGTCAGTTAACATCATTTGTCCGTGAAGACAACTGCCAGGCGTGCACACCACTTGTCCTAGACATTTCTATTGATGCAGCTGCACAAACGCACCAATTGACTTTCCTTCTTTGTATAACACTATGCCTAACCTTATTATTACTTTCCACATTACACCACCGACGCACTTCTTTATCTCGTTAAGCCAGTAATAAGACTCGTAAAGAGGGGAAGTTGGGCATGAAGCTAGCAACCTCATCCCGTGAAAATAAACACCACTGCCACCGAAACTTCAAGCCTCTAGCTTGAAGCCCTGTGTTCCACTGGGAACGTAAAGGAATAAAAAAATCATTACACCACCTAAAATGAAAGATGAAACACAGACACCTACGACCAAAAACGACTACTGTCTTCATATGTTGTATCTAAGTTTACAGTAGAGCTTGTTTTTACTGTGGATGTCTCCACCTGTTGCTTCATTTCTCACATTGGTTATTTCATGGTGAACCTGCCGTCTTACTATCTCCTCTTTAATACATACTACATGCATACATACACTAGCCACTCACCTAACACCTTTTATAACCTTGAACTGACTTGTCAATTTTCCCACCCCACACTCTAAAAACCTATTATGACTAATCACCACCATTGTCTCCCATTTCACGATATTTTGTAATCAATATCAGCTAAGCACGTTTGTCACGCAAATACTATTTATTCTGACACCCTATACGTACTAATCTGTTATTCTACGATAAAAATGTACCGCCGCATTACTGGCCATTATTGTAATGACAACAAATATATTACATTTCATAACCGTAAGAACCTGAAGAGGAGAAATTATTGAAAAGAATACTCTTCGTTCAGATACCAGTTAGGAAATAAACCTGCGTGGCAAAATACATGCGTATCGCATATAACCGACATGCAACCTAGCAAACGGCCATGCACTGTCAGAACTGACAGCATATAATAATACCGTTAGTTTAATGTCAGTTATTCAATCTTAGGCTTTCTTGGATAGTCCCAAAAACAGTTCACGGTATTTAAAAACGGTGATTATAGAATATTTTTGAACATTCTAACTGATAAATTTGAATCCTATCAGTTAGTTTCCTATGATTTTTGTCACTTGTTCAATGAACACATTAGGAAGCCTGCAGATTTTGTTTTTACTTCATACACACACAGATTGTTGACATTGTTTCGGTATGATTATCCTAAAACTTCTATCATATTTCTACCCTAGAAGTTGGTGACTTATGAATTCAGGGATAACTTTATCTGATGAAGTTTAACGTATCACTTAAATGTGACTGGTAGTCAGCTACATTTGGTTCAGGACCGTTGTCACCTCGGGATTTAGTAGTTATCCAGAATAAATTTTCTAATGTACCATTATGTGTAAGCCACACATGCCTGTGAGAGAGATTATAATTCCTCTCGTTTAGTCATGCTCAAGTAGTTTCAAAAACTTGGAGTGTCCCAGAAAGCTGCAGACTTTCATCAACAGCTAATTTCACTCGACACTAAAGAAGATCAGATGACTAGAAAGGATGAGCAAAAAGGGAGTACATCAACGAGTCAACCAAGAATCCTATTTCCCAAAGAATATGCAAGAGAAATTGGGAATAGATCGGACATATACTGAGTAGACTGTTGAGTAACATCATGCGCCAGGCCCTACCTAGCTTGGAACGCGAGTGGGGAACGATGAGTGGGACATCCAAGGGTGATATGGAGATCGTTTCTCATATGCCAGTTTACGCCGCCTCTGGTGCAAACGTGATATCTGGCTGGTTATCGACCAAAAGGCGTGTGTACTACTCAACAGTCCACTCTGTTTTCCTTTATGGCTGTGAGACATGGCCATTGAGAGTGGAAGATACGAAAATGCCGGCTAACTGTGCTTGATCATAGGTGCCTGCGTTCTATCTCCCATGAGAAGTGGTATGATAGTATGAGCAATATTGAGGTTAGTCGTCGAGTGCTAGGTAAGGAGGGGAAATCAATTGACGCGGCTGTTAAATTACATCAACTGAGATGGTTAGGACATCTGTTACGTTTGCCTAGTCATCGCCTTCCTCGACAATGGGCAATGTTAGCTAACACAGGATGGATCAGGTTGGAAAAGAGTGAGCTAGTGGTGGTCAAACCAAAACATAGCCTCATCAGTCAATGAAATTCACAACAGTTGGTTTAAGCCAGCCAGCCAGCCACGTAGGAAGTTGTAAACTTCCTGACTGACTGGTTGAGGTCCTCGGGACGGTAAAAACCAATGAAGGCTGCAGACAATGGGTGACATGGCTCAAAGTGATCGTTCTCAATGGCTGGCGCAGATGCATCCACTCCTTGTGACTTATACCAAATGAAACTGTCTTGGTCTTCGTTATTAGTATTCCCTGTTTACTGTTTCTATTTTGCATTTCTACTTTTTTCTCTTGCTTTGTGTGGTTCAAGGAGGGAGTGTGGCGACTTGAACTGCTGCACATCGGTTGAAAGTTCTATGTTGAAACCAGTCAGTCAGATATGGATATCGTGTGAGAAGGGTATGAAATCTTATGGACGAGCTAAAGACTTCAGAGAAAACAAGGTGAAGTGGCAATGTGCTGCTGCTGTGAAGCCAGCCGTATGTTCCACTCGAAATAATAATAATCATAGTACAGACGGCATGAGGTTTGAAACCGAACCTACTAAGCTGAAAGTCAAAATCACATCATCACTGTTATGTAATTACTAACTTGTCAATTGAGATTAACTTATTCCCTTGTTTGAAATTTCATAATTTTTTTTTTCAAATTTCTTATTATTCTTATAGTGATAATACATAAATTGTGGTTTAAATGAAGCGAAAACACACAGAAAAGTCTAGTTATCTATCATCACCGGTAACACAAGCAGCAACAGCAATACAAGATGATCTTAGTGATGTTAGCGATGATTTTGAAGACACTTATAATACAAAGATAGCAAGTCTACAATCACAATTAGATGAATTAAATAATAAAACTCATCCTGGTAGGTAGATTAAAATTTAGTTTTGTAATGAAATTTATTCAATATAGAGTATTTAAAAATTCGTCGAGAAATTGAAAACTGGCATCAAGAACAGAGGCAGCGTATTCACTTTCTACAGGAACATAAGGTAAGACAGATAGATACCAAGATCTTTGATGTTTTGCATAGTAAACGTAGTTATATATGTCCAAACCAAGTTCACTTTTAACAGTTTGAAAAAATTTGGGCATTTGGTATATGATATATTCATTATAATAAAGGTTTTTGTAGTTCCCAATGAATGAATGAATGTTTTTAATGACGTTTCGCTATGCATTAATGCTAATAACTGCTTTATCAAAGTATTATTAAACCAGAATTTACAAAATCCACTCAGCTTATATATAACAACTTAATCATCGTTCCTCAACATGGTGGCATTCTCACGTTGTCAAATTAGCCAATTGGTGAAGATAACAAAACCAGATAATAAAATCAGGAAGAAAACCAACTCCAATAAACATTTAGAGTTCAAATCATCACACCCCATCAGCGCAAAGATTTCAGTTGTTTCAAGTCTTCTTAGACGAGCACACTTTCTGATAACGGATGAGAAAGAAAAACAAGAAAAAGAAATGTCAAACATTACTGAAACTCTCAAGCAAAACAACTACCCAAGGAACTTCATCAACTAAATCACTACAGACATTGAGTTTGGTCGAATACGCATTCCGAAAACATGGACCTAAACAGTCGTCATTCTATATAGACCGGAGACGTCAGACGATATCAGAAGAGTACTCAATCAGCTCGACATTAGAGTTTTCTTCAAAACATCAGACTCACTACGAAACAACCTTGTCCATATAAAAGACCAGATCCCTAAAGATTCTCTTTCTAATTGTGTCTATAAAATAAAATGCTTGGAATGTTATGCGATATACATCGGACAAACATCTCGAGAAATCAAAATTAGAAGAAATGAACACCGTAGAGCCGCCTCTGTTAGACCACCGAGAAATCCAGTTAGTGAACTAGAAAAGCTTTAGAAATCATCAGCCATAGGTCTACACGCTATGGAATCAGGCCACAAATTCGATTTTGACAATATTGAATTAATCCAGAAGAACCATTTCAAGAATCACAAAGAACGTCTCACATCATTGGAAGCACTTCATATCAAGTGGAATCCAAATTGCCTGAATAGGAATGATGGACTAAAACAGAATCTGACCTGGTTACAACACCTCCCTCCCCTCCCCCATGAAGTGACAAAATCGACACGAATGTGATAAGCAAGTTCACTATGTAAACACACACTGATCAAATCCAACAATCTACACCTGGTTTTGTTATCTTTACCAATTGACCAACTTGACAACGAAAAATGACCCCAGACTGACGAACGATGATCAAGTTAGTAAACTTTATTTTGATACCATTACAGATGTACTATTACCTTTGTTATTTGGTTTAGTCATCTTCATTGTTATTTTGACTTTCAATATGTCCCTTTAACTTGACCTAACTCTATTTTCTCACCTCTTAACTCTGTTATATATATGCTGAGATTTTGTAAATTCCAGTTTAATAATATTTTGATAAAGGTATTAGCAGCAGCATTAAATAGCGAAACGTCAGTAAAAACAACAATATCGTTTTGTTTTTCATTCATTGGGAAATACAAAAAACCTTTATTATAATGAATAAACGCGGTTGTTCACTTTTATTGGTGTTTAAAATAAAACGAGAACAACAACAGTGGTTTGTGCAGAATAACAAGGTGGTACCATCCTTTGTTTATTTCGTTAGCTTCTCATCAGCTGCTGTCTACAGCCTAAATAAATTAGTATTATTAATTTCATGTACAGAAACAATTTTAACATACTTGCAAATTTTACATGATATCAGTTTACAGGAGGTTCCGTAATAAGTGAACAGTGCTCAGAAAATCACGCTTATTATAGTTTTTCCACAGGGAGTTCAAGTTTAGACAAAGTAAATGTATACATACAATGGTAAAGGAGTTAGTTACGTAATAAAGACGAGAGATGCGTAAGATGATGAGTGACTAATAAATTAGGTAATAGGTTTCATACCCTCGGTCTCAGATTGACATGTCTGTTGGCTTCTTGTGCAGATGCTTCGACGATGTCTGAGACCACACTTCGGTCAATCAATCAGACGGGAAAATCTAAAAAAATTCAATTAAATAATTAATATGACCCGTAGGTGGCTCTCGTGGCCCAAGTGGTCTAGTGGATAACCCGCTTTAGCGTTCGAGTCTTGGTGGGGTGGGGGGGAACATCATTACTCACTGAGAAATGCAGGTACATCCAGCTGACGAGTCCCAAATAGGACGAAATGCTCGTTATCCTGGACTGGATTCCACTGCTAGTCACCATCCACCAATTAACTCTTGAAATATTTAAAATATCATGCATTATCCATGTGTAATATATGCTTGATTGATTTTGTTTTCCCCTTATTAAATTCATCTACATTACAGCTTGATATAATCTATCGTGAGTATAATAAAGAAGTGGATACATGCGATCAAGAGTGTGAGGTAAGTTTGTTGTTGTTGATAATCTGAATAAAATTTCTCTTCAGCATGAAAAACGCAGAATTCAAAATTATTTAATCTCATTATGTGAAGAATTGAAAAGACGCTTGGAGCATGATAAAAAGAATATTGAATTAACTCCAAGTGGAGGTGAGTTAGTTGAAGGGCTGGTGTATGAAATTTTTATGTATAGAAACAACATTTGATTTATTTTGTTTTATTGTACTGTAGTGATGACTATTTAACTAGCGTCTACAGAGTTACGCTTAACATCTCCCAATCATCCATCCTTAATCTGAAAGGAGATAAAGCAGCGGGACTTGAAGGAATGACTTCAGAGGTGTTTAAGGATGTTGGAGACGATGTTTACTGTTTGTGTTAACTATGGTTATTAGGCAACCTCTGGGAATCAGAGATAGTCCGGTTGGGTTGGTGTAAGTTATTGATTATCCCGATATACAGGAAGAGAGACAAATCTTCCTGTGATAATGGTATCTAAGGTTCCAGGCTCAGTACCCATGCGTTCACTAAGTGGCACTTGGGAGAAACATGCGCGAGTAGACCAAGCAGGTTTTAGACCAGGAAGTGGGTGTTTCCATCATATCTCCACCCTTCGTCAGATTCTGGAGAAAATAGGCATACTTACCGTGGCGTCCAACAATCGTCATATTTCTTGACCTACCTGAAAGCGGCATTCGATTGCGTCAACCGAGAGGTACTATGGCGATGTTTGGCTGTGAAGGGAATGCTGAGAAAATACATCGCACTGATCAAGGCACTCTACTCGAACTCATGCAGTCAGCCATGTAAGAGCTTATGGCGAGTTGTCATCTGAAGTGATGACAACTTGTGGTGTCCTTCAGGGATGCCCACTATCCTTATTTCTGTTAAATTTCATCATGGATTTGTGTGCTAATGGACTTAACTCTAACTGACTTCAGCGACTCAGGGATTGACTTGTTACCAGGGGATAATCTCATTGACTTAGAATATGCAGATGATATATTCCTTCTAGGTGAAGACTCTGACTGAGATGTAGTGCAGCAGTGCAGCATCTTGAGATGCAGCAATCCGCAAATGTTTGGCATGCGGTTTGTTCCTGTCAAATGTAAGATGATAAGGCTGTGGTGAGAGCTGTCTACTAGCCACATTGGTAGTTAGTAATTGACGTCAATGTTTACGTTCTCAAGATTGGTCGTGAGAAAATATGAACAAGATTGATTCAAAAACCGACCAAAGCAGACTTTGCGTAGGCGGATGCAGTTAACATATAGATGATCTGACATTCAAGAAACAGTCACAAAGAGATGAAAGACTAACTTTAAGTGAGAAACAACCAATCAGAAGACTGTGTTTGTTTGCTTAACTAAACTGTAATAATTTACATGAAAATATATAAATATGCGTTGATTTCCTTAATAAACGATCTGTTGCCTGGCCCTTGTCTGCTGTTGTTACAAGGCTACAGGACTGCACTGGACTACATCGACTGACTTCTAGCTTAAAGGTAGGTAGGGGTGAGGTGAAAGGGTGTGTTTATCACTTCACTTATTTGGGAAGTTGCATCAACCGGCCCTGCCGGTGTCTGCGTTCTATCTCCTGTGTGTGTTAGGTGGTGGTATAATAGGGTGAGTAATATCGAGGAAATTAGGTTTCGGTCGAGCGCCAGCTAGGTAAGGAGGAGGGAAGGTCAATCGACGAGGTTTGAAGTTATATGGATTGACAGAGATGGTTAGGACACGTGTTACTCATGACTAGCCTAGCCATCGATTGCCTTCCTCGACAACGGACAATGTTAGCTGACTGACAGGGTGGATCAGCTAAGAAAAGGGCTAGTGGTGTTGGTGATGAAACCAATGATGGCTTCATTAGTCAATGAAATCCATAACAGTTAGTTTAAGCCAACCAGCCAGACAGGTAGGGAGGTGTAGACTGGCTGGCTGGTTGGAGTCCTCCGGATGGTAAGAACCAATGGCGGCGGCTGGAGACAATTGGTGATATGGCTGAAAATCGTCGTTTTCAATGGCTGGCGCAGATGCATTCACTTTTTATGATTTGTCAGTCATATCCAATAAAACTGCATAATACTATTGTTTTTTTGCTCACACTTCTGTTTATTGTCTCTCTCCGTTCAAAGTTCTACGTTGAAACCAAGTCGGTCAGTCAGTCATCCTATTACATTCCAAGTGGAACATCGGGCTTCAAGCTAGAGCTTTGTACTTTCGGCAGTAGCGGTTTCATTTTTACGGGATAGGGTCGCCAGTCTCACGCCCAACCTTCCCTCTTTACCGGCCTAGCGAGGTTTAGAAGTGCGTCTGTGGCCGGGAATCGAAACCTGGACCACGTGGGGCGTGGTTGGCGAGCGTCCTACAGCTGAACCACCAACGCACTGTTCGAACTAGATAAATACTAGAAAATTTCGGAATGTTGATCTCTCGATGGCTTTTACTAATGATTACTTCAATTATCTCTTATGCCGGAAAATATCTAGTTCGAATATATTTATAAGGGTGTAACGACAGAAGACAAGAGCCAGGCAACAGATCGTTTATTGAAAAAATCAAGAGATATTTATAGATTTTTATGTACATTATTATTAGCGTTATTGTTAGCAGAGAAGCAACCTCTTCTGATTGGTTGTTTCCTTGCTGAATGTTATTCTGTACTGCTTGTGACCGACCGTTTCTTAGAAAATTAAGCCATATATCTGCGAATCGTATTTGCACACATTAAGTCTGCTGTGATTGGTTGGTGAGTTCCTCAAGGTTAAGCTTCGTTATATATATATATATATATATCCTCAAGAATGAAATTCATCCTGCGATCAATAACTGTAGGTTATTATCTATTATGATCTACTTCATTAATAATCTATTTTAAATAAGAGGGTAGGGCAAAGGCAATGAATGGCGGTTCTAGACAGGGATTGTGGGGATGAACCTACCAATGACCTTGAAAAGCACTGAAAAGCAAATTTGGTACCCCAACTCAACTCTAACCTTGATCTTTCTGCATGCTAATGTGAATGTAATACTAATCTATCCTTAGCCAAGTCTAACCTGCTTTCGCGTTTCAGGGTCATTGGTGCGTTCATCCCCTCCCCCCATCCCTAGGATCGTTATTCTTTAAAGAAATCACGGGTCAAATGACCTTGAACCAACCAATCAGTGTTTGATTTTTTTAGTAGATTAATAATCGTTATATAGTTTTTTGATTTATACAATTTTGGTTACTTTTGTTTTGCAATAAAAAATAATTTAGATGTCCTCGAATTCAAACCTACTGTCACTCGGAAACTAAGACGACGTGCTGGTGGCGGTGGCGGTGGTGGGGGTGCTGGTGGTGGCGGCGGCAGCAGCAGCGGCGGGGGAGCAGGAGGAGGAAATTGTGGCGGTGGCTCTTGTGGTGGCGCTGGGAGCGGTGGGGGTGGTGGTGGTGGGGGCGGTGGTGATGGTGGCGGAGTTGACGGTGGAAATGATGTAATCCCTTCAAATCCTGGTAACTTTATGTATTGGGGGGATTTACTACTCTGTGGTGGTGGTTCACGATGGCCAATTAACTCAAATTTGAACTCAAAATTACAGCGATCTGAATCCAGCGATATGCGTAGTCCTGTTACAAATAATGGTGAAGAAAATCCTGATCCTGGCCAGCCATCCTTATCATCACCAAATGGAGAGAATGAATCGAAAGAGACTCCTGAGAAGGAAAAACCAGTGACAACCAGTAATACACGTAGTGGTAATAGTAATAATGGTAGTTGTAGTAATACTATCCCATCAGTATGTGAATCATCGACAACGGCGTCGACGACTACCACTACTACTACTACTGCCAGTAGTAGTAGTGGCAGTAATACCACGGCTACGCATACAACGTCAGTGACGACCACTTCGTGCAATTCAATCTCTAAGACCAATATATTTGGAAGTTTAGGCTTAAATCTATACGATGGAAGCTTACTATCGCATTTACTAGCTTTTATGAATAGTAATAATAGTAATAATATCAATAATAATATTAATAATAGTAATATCGCATTATCCTTTGCCAATTTCTATGCTAATCCGTCATCCTCTGTTGGTGTTGGTGTTGGCGTTGGTGGCGCTGGTGCTAGTGCTGGTTGTTCATTAGAGACTCCAAGTAGCGGCAACAGCAATAGCATCGCCGTCAGCGGTAGTACTACTAGTAGTACTAGTACTAGTAGTAATAATAATAATAATACTAGTTGTGTTAATTCAACAGCCGTTGTTGCAAACGGTGTTACCCTCCCATCGAATAATGGGATTGTTGTTAGTAATGGCGTTGGAGGTGGAGGTGTCGGTGTCGGTATCGGTGGTCTATCCAATAGTGTTGTTGGCCTGTCGTCAGTTGCTGCTGCTGCGGCCGCGGCTGCAGCTGCTATCGGTTGTGGATTCATACCTTCAATCAATCACCTTCCTCATCCTCATCATCATAATACACATAATAGTCCATTGTCGTCTATGCGTAAACGACGTCATCAAAATAATGCACCGAATGCACAACTGAATCTTTTACTCCCTGAACATGATATCTATGCAGATTTGACAATTATTCATAGGTAAGAAAAACGGTGGTTTTTCATTTTTATTGTAATTGTATTTTTTTTGTGTGTGTGTTTTGTTTTTTCTAACATGTGCGTTGCTAAAGTGTGTGTATATATTACGAAATATTATTATTATTATGATTATTGGTTGGAGGATTTCATCATGAGCTGACATCAGTTAGAGAACCATTGGAAAACCAACAGGGAGTACTGGACAGTCAGCTGTTTCGTCAGCCTAGTTTCGGACTCTTCAGCAACGCGCACCTACCGGGGCTCGAACCCAGGACTTTTTGGTTACAAGGCTAGCGAGCTAGCTCGCAGACCATTAAGCCACTGGGACCCGTCAATCCAATGGCCAGTCCATGAATTCTAACTTCTGATGAAGAGTCCCAAACTAGGACGAAACAGCTGTCTAGTGCTCCTAGGTGGTTTTCCATTGGTTCTCTAAATGATGTCAGTTCATGATGAAATCCTTATACCAATGGTCTACGAGCTAGTTCGCCTTGTACTCATAAGGTCCTGGGTTCGAACCCTGGCAATGGGTGGGTGGGTGGGTGCGTACTGATGAAGAGTGCGAAACTAGGCTGAAGAAACATCTGGCTCTCCAGTACTCCCTGTTGGTTTTCCAATGGTTCTCTAACTGATGTCAGCTCATGATGGAATCCTCCAACCAATCAAACAAATTCCCCACAAAAGCCAATACTTGAAAAATTATTTTTATTATTGTTGTTCCCTCGGGTTCCGAGTCTGTCTGTCTGTCTGTTTTCGACATAGAACTTTGCACATATGTGCGGCAGTTCAAGTCGCCACACTCCATGTAGCACGCAAAGCAAGAGAAGGAAGTAGAAGAAATGCATAATATAGACAGTAAACAGAGGTGTGAGACAAAGGAATAGTAATAACGGAGAACAAAACAGTTTAATTGGAAATCATAAGTCACAAGGAGTGGATGCATCTGCGCCACTGAGAACGATTTTGAGCCATATAACCAATTGTTTCCAACCATTGGTTTTTACCGTCCCGAGGGCCCCAACCAGGAAGTCTACATCTTCCTACGTGGCTTAGATTAACTGTTGTGGATTTCATTGATTGGTGCCATGTTTTGGTTTGACCGCCGCTAGCTCTTTTCCAGCCTGACCCTATATCAGCTAACATTGCCCATTGTCGAGGAAGGCGATGACTAGGCATACGTAGCACATGTCCTAACCATCTCAGTCGAAGTAATTTCACAGTCTCGTCGATTGATTTCCCCGCCTTACCTAGCACTCGACGCCTAACCTCAATATTGCTCACCTTATTATACCACTTCACGCGGGAGATAGAACGCAGACACCTATGATCGAAGACAGCTAATCTTTTCATGTCTTCTGCTCTCAATGGCCAGGTCTCACAGCCATAAAGGAGGACGGAGCGGACTGTTGAGCAGTACACACGCCCTTTGGTCGATAGTCGGATATCGCGTCTACGCCAGAGACGGCGAAAACTGGCGAATGCGAACCTAGCCCTCTGTATTCGTGCTGAAATTTCGTCGGAGATCAACCCGTTGGGGCTGATGGTACTTCCCAAGTAAGTGAAGCGGTCAACGTGCTCTATCACTTCACTTCCTATTTCTAATCTAGGGGTCGATGAAGTCCAATCCTGCAGCATCATCTTACATTTTATAGGGGCAAATCGCATGCCAAACATGCGGAGATTGTTGCTCAGGGTGTTCAGTAGACTCTGCGGGTTCCGAGTAGAACATATCGCCTCAACAACATGTCTTCACTTTGTCCTACTTTCTGTTGTCCTCTTTAGCTGCGCCCTAGATTACCCATAGCCTCTCATCTCTTCCTCCCCAAGTGATCTTCTCCATATCACCCTCGCACTGACGACTCACTCGTCTCCTCCCATATGGATTTCACTCGAGTGATATGCCTGATGCGTCAAGTCATTCAACGGTCACCTCTGTGGCGTGTATCTGTCCGATTCACCTCCATTTTCTCCCGCATATTTGTTGAACAGTAATAGGTTCTTGGGTTGGTTTGTTGATTCCCATAGTTTCTTGTCGCTAATTCTTTCTGGCTAGCCGGCCAGCCAGCCAGCCGCTTGATCTTCTCAGTAGGGAATGGGAAACAATGGCTGTGAGGCGTCAGTGCGAGAGTGACATGGAGGAGAAGATAAGAGATTATGGGTAATCGTGGGTTCAGCTAAAGAGAACAATAGAAAATAGAATAAAATGGAGACGTGCTATTGAAGCGGTATGTTCCACTCCAAACCCGGGAGAACAATAATAATAATAGTAATTTTTCTTTCCCCCCACTGACTTTAGTCCTTTTTAAAATACTCATTTTTACCTTTGGTAACAACATGGTTTGCGCGCACGAAGTCGAAAAGTGTCATTTCCAAAATATCTCTTCTCCTTTTTAAAATCTCAAATAAATACTAGGGTGTACATGAAAATTGGTACACCATAAGCGTGACTTAAAAGCACTTGATAGAGTTGGTATCTTTCTGTAATTATAAACATGAATTAGATTTTATAAACTTCTTGAGGATAATTAATGTTTGAGTTAGTATGAACCAATAGTTCATACCTTAATTGATTGCCACACTATATTTTCCTATAGTCATTGCAAAGCACCATATATATATATATACATATGACGTAATTCTAACTTTACAAATTTCTTGTCTATGTTATAATTCGTTACTAACCCCAACGGATTAACTGATCTTGGATTCCGTAACTAATGAATCCTCACTCCTTCTTCAAAACGTGGATGTCCTGTTACTAACATCTATTAGTTAATTGTTTTGATGACTTTTAACCTCTTAATTTCACCCCCCCCCCCCAAGGTATACTTAAAACTGATGGGCTAAAACAACCACCTGATTAGTAAATTTTGATGTAAAAACTATAAATTAGTGTAGCGCTGTTGATGTTGAACTAATTGAAAAGGAATGCATATTTTTTCGCTTTTAATTTGTTTGTTTTTTTCAACATACGTTTTCAAGAGTTGGTTTGTAAGAATTGGATTTGTTTTTTGTTTTTCCGATTTTGACGACGGCGGATTCTTATCACCTAGAGAACTGCTGAAAACCAGTACTGGAGGAGTACTGGACAGTCAGCTGTTTCGTCAGCCTAGTTTGGCAGTATGCAAACTGCTACGGTTCGAACCCAGGACATTTCGGTTAAAAGGCAAGCTAGCTGGGAGACAATTCAGCCACCCACTGGGACCCGACTCTTCAATGGCCAGCCCATGAATTCTTCTAACTTCTATCCATTCGTGGTATTCAGCTCGACTGACACAAACTAGATTTGTTAGATTTTTTTTTGAAAATACTGAGTCTCTGAAGTGATTTAGGGTTAAGTGTCCATTAACACATACATCTATGATGAAATTAAATAGAAGTGGGTGCAGTGGGCATCCCTGACGGACACCATTGGTTGTCACCACTTCAGATGACAAATTTGCCGTAAGCTCTTACATGGTTGACTGCATGAGTTCGAGTAGAGTGCCTTGATGAGTGTAATGTATTTTCTCGACATTCCCTTCACAGCCAAACATCGTCATAGTACCTCTTAGTCGACGGAATCGAATGCCGCTTTCAGGTAGGTCAAGAAATATGACGATTGTTGGACGCCACGGTAAGTATACCTAAGTTCCAGAATCTGACGAGGAGTGAAGATATGACCAATACAATAACCCTCTTCCTGGTTCTCTCGTGTTTTCCCCCCGTCGAGAACCGCTTAGTCTACGCATTATTAGTGATTCTGGAGTTCTAGTGAGAAGTCGTGACCAGTGAGGTGTATCCAGTCGGGATGTGATGATGGATTTCCCACCGGATGACACTGGTTGGTGCCAGTCGCGCTAAATACCACGAATGGATAGAACTAACTTGCCTTTTAACCGGAAGGTCGTGGGTTCGAACCCTGGCAGTTTTTGTACTGCCGATGATTCGCAAACTAGGCTGACGAAACAGCTGGCTGTCCAGTACTCCTCCAGTGCTGGTTTTCAATGCTTCTCTCTAACTGATATCAATCCGCTGTGGTCAAAATCGATAAACTATACTTTTTGTTCTTTTTCTGTGTGTGTGTATTTTATTTCTGCTAGAATCTATATAGTGTTGCCCTCTTTCTTTTTTTATTTTCCTTCCTTCCATATACTTATACAACAGAGCATGTTCAAAGGCGTCAAATATAACAAATTCATCGAATGGATTATCGGGTAACAATCGTAAACATTCTTCACATATGATAAACAATAATGGTAATAGTAATACTAATACTAATAATATTAATTCCAATACATCTCAATTAGGTTATAACAGTCCATTGAGTCCAATGAGCAAATGTTATGAAGATAATTACAATAATAATAATAACAATAACAATAATCTAAACGTATGCAGAAATGCTAAAGACTTACATGGAGTCAATTCAACTGGTGCAACTTTATCCGCCTATTCTACTTCAATTGGTTCACCTAATCCATATAATGTGAATGATTCACCGACTACACGTAGTGGAACACGTAACAGCAGTATTAATAGTAGTGGTACAATGTTTGGCATTAATCCTACCGGCGCCAATAGCAACAATAACAACAACAGTCCGTTGAGTACATCATCACTTTCTGTATGGATAGATGATGGAAGACTTTATTGTGGGCATAAATGGTAATTTAGTTAGTTAGTTTGTTTGTGTGTTTGTGTTTTGTTTGCATTTTTTTGTTGTTGTTTAACTATTGATTTTCGCGAAGACTTACAGACGAAAAAAAAGCCAACAGACTGGCTGAAGAAGCGGGGTGAAGCAATGAAGACAGGACTCCAAGGAACAGCAGCAAAAACAACCGGTAGTACTAATCACCCCATCAACGGAAGAGATTTAACAGAGGTTACTTCCTGCCTTCACTTATGCTGGGTAGGCAGCCAGTATCGTTTCAACTACAGGCGGGTTGAATGGATGAAGATGTCAGTCAGCCAGCCGGCGAGAATCGGAAAGGCAAGATACGCCTTCATCAACCTGTAACCAGTTTGGAAATCTTCTGCACTCCGCCTCAGCATAAGGAAGAAGATTCGGATTTCCAACACCAATGTCAAGTCGGTCACTACTTTTATACGGGTCAGGAACTTGCACTGTGTGTCACGAAAAGCATTTTCAATAGGCCAGTGCAGACTTTCATCAACAGCTGCCTTCGATGGCTTCATACTGAAGATCCAATGGCCGGCAAGAAAGAATAAGTAAGAAGAAACTATGGAGATGAACAAACCAACAAGCAAGAGTCGATCGCTCAACAAATATGTAGGAGAAAATGGAGATGGATCGGGCATACTCCACTAAGGTTGTAACAACAGAAGACAAGGGTCAGGCAACATATCGTTTATTAAGGAAATCAAAGCATATTTATATATTTTCATGTACATTATTATAGTTTAGTTAAGCAAGCAAACACAGTCTTCTGATTGGTTGTTTCTCACTTAAAGTTAATCTTTCATCTCTTTGTGACTGTTTCTTGAATGTCAGATCATCTATATGTTAATTGTATCCGCCTACGCAAAGTCTGCTGTGGTCGGTTTTGAATCAGTCTTTGTTCATATTTTCTCACGACAAATCTTGAGAACGTAAATATTGACGTAAATTACTGTCTACCAATTTGGCTAGTAGACAGCTCTCACCACACTCGTCCCCCCTTCAAATAGTCATCTGTTTGTGACTATTCCTTTGAAGGTCAAACCATATGCCTGCGAACCGTATCCACCCACGCAAAGTTTGCTGTGATTGGTTGTTGAATTAGTCTTTGTTCTTGTTTTTTTTTCGCATGACCAAGATTTGGAACGTAAACATTGACGTAAATTGCTGTCTACCAATTTTGGCCAATAGACAGCTCTCGCCACTCTGTCATATTTTAAACTTTCTTCCTTATTTTTCAGTTATCAGATTGGTGCACCGGTAATCTTAGAAGGTCGTGACGGGTCAAGTCATCGATGTTCTGGTACTATAGCATCAATTGGTGTACAAGATATAGCTATTCGGAGAAGTTCGGATCATGGTATATGTCGTGTAACAGTTCAACAATTGAAACAAGGTAGATATGCTTTATGGCCAAATAAAACAGAATAGATTGAATTTGTTTGTACACAACAAAATTATAAATATAAAATATATGCAATAAAATAATACATTTGTGTAATTAATTTTTTTTTTTTACTTTTGAATACAGTGACAGTTAGAAGACAAAAGGGCAAAGTTAAACTTTAAGCACCACTAACTACCATCAAACAGCAAATGACCTCGAATGCACCAATCACGTGAAGGAGGCATTTTTGTGTATGGAATACATATATTTATGAAAAAAATTGCATTAAAACTGTGTAAAAGTGTTACAAAGGATACCTTTCTCTCACATGTGATAAAAATAGCTCTCAGTTTTAGGTTGGAGTATCAACAGAATATAATTCCATTGTGGGTAAAATTTATTTTGATAAAGACTCATAGTGTTGTACAGTAATATTTTCTGGGCAATAAATTGTGCTCGAAACGTCGTCATCAGCAAATATTACTGTATAACACTTTGTGACTTTATCAGAATAAATTTTAACTACAAAAGAATTATAATTTACCATAGTGCACAAGTTCTATTCTTATATTAACAGAGCAACTTAACCATATTCTATGCCTGTAATTATTTAGATCTTCTAACCCTAACGATAACCCAAATCTTTCCTGAACCTAGTCCTAACGTGAAAATATGCCTAAACTAACCTTCATCTAACTTGAACTAACCTTAATGTCGCCTTTATTGGGTTAACCTAACCCTAACGTATCCTTGGCTTAGAGAGTAAATTAATCTTTCGCAAACCTAAGCTGAAACTTCCAAGATACTGCATTTAAAAACCTAACACTTCGATGAGCATATTTTATTGATGATGACAACATTACTTGACAGTTTTTACTAACTTGCTCAGTGACCGCTTCAGGGTCGTTAGTGTGGTCACACTCCATTGGAATTCAGTGGTGCTTAAAGTTTACCTTGGTCGACAAAAGAAAGATTGAGTGAAGAGTACTCTTTTCAATAACTTCCTCATCTGGCTCCACCATCATTGTTCCTTTGTAGATGGTAGAATCCAGGATAATGTGCATTTCTTCCTATTTGCGACTGGCTCGCCAGCTGGATGTACCATGCCTGTTGTCCCCAGTGAGTTAGTGATGGTGTTCCCCGCCCCCTCCACCTAATCAAGCTCGAACCCAGTACCCATCGTTTCAAACGTCAAAGTGAGTTATCCACTAGAAGATCACTTGAGCCATGAGAGCTACCACGTCCTGTGCAATGGCTAACATTAATTATTTGATTCAATGTCGTTTTCCCGGTGTCTGATTGGACCGAAGTGCTTGGCCTCAGATTGTGACATGTCAGGTCCTCGTACAGGTGCTTCGACGTTGTGCATTCTGGATTCCACCGCTAGTCACCATCCACCAATTCACTTGAAGTTAATCTGCACAAGGAGCCGACATGTCACAACCTGCAGCTGAACGACACTTCGCTCCAATCATTTAACGGAGAAGTCTAAATAAAATAAAATAATTATTATTCGCGTTTAAATGACATCAATTTGTTATGATCAGTCGAATTACAGTTGAAAAGCCTGCGTAAATGATAATATACACATACCTGCTCTCTCTGAGCTGAGGATGTGTGGTGCCTCTACATATTCGACTATCTCTGCCTTCTTAGAATCGTTTGCATTCGATGGCATCATCGTGTGAGTGATTCAAATGTCCGGTCTGGTTGTGTGTGTTTGAACACAGTGGAAGTCATCATTGGTTGAGCGTCATCATCTTTAAACGCCAGCTTCGGTGGCTTGGATATGTACCACGAATGTCACCCCGTACTAGTCTCTTTCCGCTAGTCCTGGGACGGGATGGAAAAAGCGGAGGGATGGTCAGCGTATGACATGGCGTCGTGGGATGAAGGATGTCTATGTTAGATTAGCATTGGTCGGTGCGTCACGACTCCCTGGCTAGGGTTCGAGAGATAGCTCGAATCAGTGGCTCGGAAGGTTAACGGATATGACCAAGAATCGCAATCATCAATGATGAACGTGCTGCAATTTCCTTCTTTCCTCCCTTTCTGACAATAATTGGCGAATATTGTTTGGCCTTTGCTAAATATAGCTGCTTCCTTTCCGGAAGAATTCCTTATTCATTCTCTACTTATTTTTCATATGTTGTTCTTTTATTATTATTGTGGGGCGCGCCTTCTTGGTGCCTATGTTGTTCCAGGTTTTGTGTTTGAAATAAAATTGTACAAACTTGTGAATTCTTAAGTTTGGGGTCCGATTGTTTCAACTACATATATATGTAGAAGACGAACTGGTAAGGTCAAACTAAGATTCGTCGGAATATAGTAGATCCCTTTGAATGTGTCATTAACACTGACTTCATATTTTGGTATGTACGAGGTGAAGAAAAAATACAGAACTATGTGTGTTGACTTTATTCATCGCTTTCTTAATCATGCAGGATAATGTATTCAGAAATGTTCCAATGATGAATATGACTGATTGTACACCCAATGCCATTCACCCTAATAGGAACAATAAAACTGGTTAGAAAGGCAGAGAGGAAGAAAAATTCGGCAGTTTATCCTTATTTTCTGAATGTAGAATTAAAGTAGTCATAGTGAGATAGTGAATTTCTGCTTCATAGGATACTCCTTTTTTTACAGACATTATTATTGATGTTGATTCTTTGACGAGATCTCTTTTGGAGTGTGGAAATTTAATCGAGGTAGTTTTAATCGAAAGACAATGTCAATTAGGCTACTGGGATGGATATCTGTTTTGTCCTACTTAATGATAACTTGTCAGCATTGTACACGTGTGGTGAGAGCCAAATTGGTAGACAGTAATTTACGTCAATGCTTACGTTCCCAAGATTTGTCGTGAGAAAATGTGAACAAAGATTGATTCAAAACCGACCACAGCAGACTTTGCGTAGGCGGATGCAGTTGACATATAGAGGATTTGACATTCAAGAAACAGTCACAAATAGATGAAAGATTAACTTTACGTGAGAAACAACCAATCGGAAGACTGTGTTTGTTTGTTTAAATATCCATAGTAATGTACATGAAAATATATATAAATATGCTTTGATTTCCTTAATAAATGATCTGTTGCCTGACCCTTGCCTTCTGTTGTTACACACGTTGTTAGTTGCTTGAGGTGTGCACGCTTCCATGGAGTGTAGTAACTTGACCAGAATTTGCTACTTTATGAATAGTACAGAGCAAATACTATCTATCTAGTAGGATAAATTGTAATTATATTCGACTCGAAAGGTCTTAACTGTTGTGCCTCTTTAAGTATTCAATGCATACAACGTAAAAATCCCCATTGAGTCATAAAAAAGTAGAGGTGTTCAGCGAAGAGTTACTTTTTTCGGCGATATTATTCTCAAGCTGTACAATCGTATATATACATAGTAAATTTTCTTAGCAGCAAAGGGATTATTTCCAGATATGCACCAATAGAATTGTAAATTTTTTGACAACAAGTTAAGTAATCTAGAAAGCGTTGATCGGGTAGAAACTAACTAACTGACGAACTGGTTTCACAACAGAACTTTGCACAGATGTACAGCAGTTCGAGTTGCCACACTCCATGTATCACACAAAGCACGAGAAGAAAGTAAAAAGAAATGCAAAATAGAGACAGTCAACAGAGATATGAGGCAAAAAGAATAGTAGTACCGACGAACCACATAGTTTCATTGGATATTAGAAGTCACAAGGAGTGGATGCATCTGCGCCATTGACAACGAAGATTTTGAGCCATATCAGTGATTATCTCCAGCCACTGTCATTGGTTTTTACCGTCCTGAGGACCTCAACCAACCAGTCAGGAAGTCTACACCTTCCTACGTGGCTGGCTGGCTGGCTTAAACTAACTGTTGTGGATTTCATTGACTGATGAGGCTATGTTTTGGTTTGACCACCACTAGCTCACTCTTTTCCAACCTGATCCTATGTCAGCTAACATTGCCCATTGTCTAGGAAGGCGATGGCTAGACAAACGTGACACATGTCCTAACCATTTCAATCGGTGTAACTTCACAACCTCCTCTATTGATTTCCCCTCCAACTTACCTAGCACTCGACTGATGCCTAACTTCAATATTGCTCATCCTATCATACCACTTTACACGGGAGAAAGAACGCAGGCACCCATGATCAAACACAGCTAGCCTTTTCATCTGTACCCTTACCTGCAGGTTTATATATTAGCGAGAAGCAAATAAACTTAAGTGAATGGAAGATAAATATGAAAATTTCAAAATGCTAGTTGAAGATCAAGCCATTGCATGCATCATAGCTAGAGTCAACCAACGTAAACTCAACAAAAAGAAATTACATATAAAAAGTTTAACTACTCAAAAGTAGTATGATTAAAAATAAATTAAATATAGTTAGTCTGTTACAGCATCAAGTGTCAGATATTCATGATCAACGTTCAATGCTTCTTCTGCCTTCAATCTGGTTGGATACAGAAGTAACTTTAGTTTGTAATCCGCTGAAAATACTGGCGATCACCATATGAAATTTCTGTTAGACCATGGACATATACTAATGATGAACAATAAGGTGGAGGTCATATACATGAATAGTGACGTACTTATTTTCACTAATGGGCATAACAGAATCTTTCTAATAATCTCACTGTCATTGCAGTATAGATTAGAACAAGATAAACACAGAAGACTTATGGGTTGAATTCATTATTAGAGAATAAATGTTTCAATAAAGAAAGAAAGACCAGATTTGTAGTATGAAACTCCATTTCACGGGTTCTCATCATCTGCTGCACACCACTACCTGAAATTACAGTGGTTATGGAAGAATGACAATAACATACTTCAATGTTTGAATGATAGTAGTAGAGAGAATATTATAAAATTAACGCCTCAGAAACAATAAGCTTTACAATCCTCAGTTTAAGTCACCATCAATTTATATCCTTTTAAACTATGGAGAAAAGAGCGGGGTGGGGTGAGAGAAGACAGAAAACAGAAAAATCTCATAAATAGTGTTAGCTTTTAAGTTTTTATATCAACTCAAGAAAGTTATAGTCCATAAAATTGGAAACTTGCTCTGTAAGCTGAGATCACTGACTAATAAATATATGATTAATCAGTGTAATCATAAAAATGCAGTTACCAAGGGAACGAGTGAG